TTGTATTTATTTTGATCTTATTAGCGTAAAATTTATAAATTGTACAAAAAGCATTTGAAAATAAGAAATATTTTGTTGATTCTCATCTTTTGGTCGACTGTATATTTTATGTCACGATAATTTATTTTTATTCTTATAAATAAGTATAATGAATGTAGTTATTGTATATATGTCAACGATAATTTATTTTTAATTATTTATTGTATTTTTTTGTTTAATGTAGATTAAGATTTTTTTTTTATCTGATATTGCAAATAAGTTGTAAATTGAATTTTGTAAAATGATTTTCTTTAGCAACTTCAATTTAAAAGGCTATATTTGTGTTCAAAAATAATCCATGCAGTTGTAAATTGAAAGAGAATATCTACATACAGAAACATTTAAATAACAAACTCAGGTTCGCACGTAAAATAACTTGAAGTGGCACTTATTGGATGGCCAACTCCCTTGTTGGTGTAAGAATTAGAACCCTAACAGCAAGCCTATTCTTCGAACGATACAACAGTCACAATTAAAAAGAAATTTAAATAAATTGATAGAAAAAACAATTATTTATAAAGTAAAATTTTCAATTTTAATTAAATAATATTTATATATTCTTCTTTTAGTTTTCATAACTTTATTTTATTTTTTACTTCTAAATAATTTTAAATGAATTTTTTTACTTATATAAGTAATTTTTACATATATTAGAAATATTTTTTGTTAATATGTTTATTTTAAAATTTTTTTTTACTAAAAGTATTTTTTATTTTTTATTTCACTTATAAAAATGGTCAGCACGAAGTAAGGCTTGAGGTATGAAAATTTGCGTGTTACATAGATTCACATTGCCTCTCTTACACTATATATATAATATAATAATATAAGCAAATGAGTTGATTTGAAAATGCGTGGCCATAGCGTATGAAAATGGAGAATGGAAAAGTAAAAAAAAAAAAATTGAATAATCCTCATTGCACAAAGAACACACTATATATAATTTTTTTTTAATTCTTTTCTCTTCAATTTTTTTAACTTACAGATAACTTTTTCGTTAAAATTGAAAAATTAAGTTTTATTTGAAAGAAAAAAGAATTAAAAAGAAAAAAATAATTTATTTTTTTAAAGAAAAAACGACTTATACACATTTGTTAACACATATGTTTAATCTCCGTTTAACTATTTTCGATATTTATTTAGATCATTCGATATCTCTACGATATAGTTCTCAAAATGAGTTTCGAGAGAATGTAAAACATTTATCAATTCGACTATCGTACAATCGTCGATGAATTTTTAAAGTTAACTTGTTATCGAAAATTTGGAAATATAATTTGAAAATGCCTACTTTGACGTCTCATAATATTTGCTACGATTGACCGTTTCATGCACCGTTAACGACGTGCAATACTATGCCGTCAGTATTTCAAAATGATATTAAGAATGTAATATTTCGACTTTGTTTGATATCACGTAATGAGTCTGAAAATGAATACAAAAACATAAGTAAAAAATAATAATAATCATTTCTCTCTCTATGCACGGAGACCTTGGTCTCCTTCCACGGAGTCCTCTTATTTTTTTTTCTTTTTTAAATAAAAGTTCTCTCATGGTCTCCGTGGTCTCCTAGCACAGATCCTCTTATTATTATTATTTTTTTTAAATAAAAGCCAATACTTCTTTATACTATATAAACTAACTACAAGTTTTAATTTTTTTTTTTTAACAACTTGAAGCAAACTTTTTACTATGTAAAGAAATATACTTAAAACATTGAGTTAATATTTAATCTAAAGTAATATTTAGATAAATTTAATTTAAAAAATTCAATATTACTAAAAATATTACTATAAAATTAAATATTATCTGAAATTATTAGATATATCCAACTACGATGATTTACTTAAAATATGGAGGAACGCGTCGTTTTTGCTCCCCACTTGGAAAAAAATGAAATTTTAAATAATTGAAAAAAAAATTTACGTAATAACGCATAATTTTTTTTGAGTAAAATGATGTATTGAGAAAATTGTTGCGAAAAAATAATAAATGGTAATAAAAAATTAATTTTTTTAAGAAAAACGACTTATACGCATTTTTTAACACATACATATAATGTCCATTTAACTATTTTCAATATTTATTTAGATCATTCGATGTCTTTACGATATAGTTCTCAAAATGAGTTTCGAGATAATGTAAAACATTTATAATTCGACTATCATACAATCGTCGACGAATTTTTAAAGTTAGCTTGTTACCGAAAATTTCGAAATAGTAATAAAATTATTGATTTTTTTAAGAAAAACGACTTATACGTATATTTTAAAACATACGTTTAATGTCCATTTAACTGTTTTTTATTTTATTTAAAATATTTGTGTTGTTTACATTATAAATTTTTTTCAATTTAAAATTCTTTTCTCTTAATAATTTCAAACAGAAACTTAGTTTTGATTTACATTATAAATAATTTTTCTTTTCATATTTCTTTCCCTTTAGTTTTTTTTACTCACAAGTAACTTTTTACCTTTTAGAAATATTTTCTATCTTATATTATTAGTATTTTTATTTTTTAATAATTTCAGATAATATTTAATTTTATAGTAATAATGCTGCTTTAAATATTTGGTGGTAGATATGAAAAGTTGCGTATTGCAGTAAATTTAGATTGTCCTTTCTTAAATATAATAATAAAATATATAGCAGGCAAAACGACGTCGTTTGCATTGTCTGCCATATATTTTATTATACTGGAAGAAACTGCTGTAACATGCAATTTTCATACCACCCACCACTCTGTGCTCAATCATTCTTATATAAATATATATAGTAGGGATATAAGAAAAGAAAAATCACTTTATATAAAAAAAAAATAAAAAATAAAGATAGTATAAGACATAAAATATTTTAGAAAAAGTTATTTTAAGTAAAAAATTTGAAGAAAAAAGAATTTTAAATTGAAAAACGATTATTTATAACGTAAAACTACAAAGCAAAAAAAAAAAAATTCTCGAATCTAAGTCTCTGTTTGGAATTATTAAGAGAAAAGAATTTTAAATTGAAAAAAAGTCGTTTTTGACCCCCAATTGAAAAAAAAAACAAAACAAAACAAAAATGCTACAGTAAAGATGGATCAAAACACTGTTGATTTCTACAGTGCCCTCACATTCCCTTTTTTATATAGTAGGGATATAAGAAAAAATTACTTTTATATAAAAAAATAAAAAAATATTTTACAAAAAGTTACTTTTAAGTAAAAAATTTGAAGAAAAAAGAATTAAAAAGAATTTTAATTTTTGTTGTTCACATTATATTTTTTTTTCAATTTATAATTCTTTTCTTTTAATAATTCCAAACAGAAACTTAAATTTGAAAATTTTTTTCTGTATAGTTTTACGTTACAAATAATAGTATTTTCAATTTAGAATTCTTTTAATTTTTTTCTTCAAATTTTTTATCATTAATCAGTATTTTTTAATAGTTTGAGATAAAATTTAATTTTCTAGTAATAATTCAATATATAAAATGATGAAAAAAAACATATTCACTCCGTGCATGAAAAAAAAATTTTCGTCATACAACATAATTTTTTTGAGCAAAATGATGCATTGAGAAAATTGTTGTGAAAAAAGAATAAATAATAATAAAATAATTGATTTTTTAAAGAAAAACGACGTATACGCATTTTTAACACATACGTTTAATCTCCGTTTAACTATTTTCGATATTTATTTAGATAATTTGATATCTCTACGATATAGTTCTCAAAATGAGTTTCGAGAGAATGTAAAATATTTATCGATTCGACTATCATATAATCGTCGACGAATTTTTAAAGTTAGCTTGTTATCGAAAATTTCGAAATAATAATAAAATAATTGATTTTTTTTAGAAAAAACGACTTATGAGTATTTTTTAACACATACGTTTAATATCCGTTCAACTATTTTTTATATCAATTTAGATCATTTGATATCTCTACGATATAGTTCTCAAAATGAGTTTCAAGAGAATGTAAAACATTTATCGATTCGACTATCGTACAATCGTCGATGAATTTTTAAAATTAGCTTGTTATCGAAAATTTCGAAATATAGTTTGAAAATGCCTATTTTGACGTCCCATAACGTTTGTTATGATTGACTGTTTCACGCAACGTTAACGACGTACAATACTATACCGCGAGTATTTCAAAACGATATTAATAATGTAATAATTCGACTTTGTTTAATATCCCGTAATGAGCCTGAAAATGAACATAAAAATATAAGTAAAAAAAAAACAAATTTATTTCTCTCTCCGTGCACGAAGTCCTTCCTAATTTTTTTGTTTATTTCCTCCGTGCACGGAAACATTAGTCTCCGTGCACGAAATATGTTGTAAAAAAATTTCTATCACATATTATCTCTATCTTTATATATATATATATATATATAAGTGATTTTTTTCTTATATCCCTACTATACATATCTATATTGGAGTGGGGGAGGAATGGAAATTGCGTGTTGCAGTAAATTTGGAGGTAGTGTATAATAAAATAAAATATATATAAAGCAAACGGCGTCGTTTTTGGCTCCTAATTGAAAAAAAAAATGCTACAGTAAAAATGGATCAAAATACTGTTATTTTTTACAGTGCCCTCACATTACCCTTTTTATGAATGTAATCATCCATTTGTATATATACTTATAAAAGCTCAAATGGAGAACGGAACTTCTTAACAAAAATAAGGGCCTTTTTGGTAATGATTCGTAAAATCAATTTTTTGACTGTTGACGGCTAACCATATTAAGGTTCCGTTTGTTTTTCATTTATTTAAAAATGAGAATGAAAAATATAGTCATTATAGGTCTCACATGAGAGATAGAAATTAAAATATGATGATTTAATGTGATAAATAACGATCATATTTTTCATTTTAATGAAAAATGAATGGAAAACAAACACGGATTAACAGCCAAAATTTTTAGGCTTAAAAAATCAGAACAAAAAAGGGCTAAATAAATAAAACCAAATGCTATCCAATGTCGCAAGAAGGCCGTTTTTGTAAAATTCCTCTTATTAGGTTGCTTGGTGCCGTCACAACTGAGTTAATCTCAAGTTTTACTTCCACTCTCGAATCAACGGTTAGTACTTTGTATAATCTCCGTGTCCTTGTGCCGTTGCTTCACCAGACAATCCTTTCTACTGTCGTTACTTCTCCGGTGAGAACCCTAATTGTATATGTATATACATAGATGTAAGATTTATGTGTTTAATAATATGTTGTCCTTTTTTGAATTGATGTATACTTTACATTCATTATTCCGGTAAAGATCCACTGTAAATTATGTACATTCAATTGTTTTTTGTCTATTCACAAACTCAAAAGCGAGCACGAGCCTATATGTTCCGTCTGCGGGTGTATGGTTTATGGGTTTAAGAGTGTTACAAAGTTGAGCTTTTTTGGCGTCTTATACAATTTTAAGGGGCCATCATCTCAAAATCTGACTGCTCTTTGGATCATGGATCAACTGGATTGAGTTTTGGGGTTTCGATCTAATAGGATTGGACCTTGTTAAGTGGATTATAAGATTTTTCCTTTGTAGTTTTTCTTTATTACAAGCATAGAAACTTTTGATTTTCAATTTGTGGATTTTGTTGTCGGAATTTTTTCAATTTCCCCAAATTATGAGGTGTAATTTAGAAAAAAAAAAAAAATGAATTTCGATTACTTTTAAGTTCCATGAAATTCATTTCTTATATTGAGACTCTGAAGCCCTGCATAATGGTAGAAATTTACCAAATATTTGCTTAAAAAAACTGAATCCCTTTCTATATGGCTACTTTTCTAGCAATATTTCATGTTTCCATGATAGGGTTCGAAGCCCCTTATACACAAACTAGACTATGTTGTTGCCTACTTGGAAAGCTTAGAACTTAAACATCTGTTGTATGCAGGAATTATACATTTACGGGTGGTGCGTGTCTGCATGCTAAATAATATTTTTAAGTGTTAACTCACTTTTGCATTGTATTGTAGATGGATTGGCAAGGGCAAAAGCTAGCGGAGCATCTGATGCAGTTGATGCTGGTATCTTTTGCTGTGGTGGCATTCATCGTGGGGTACGTGTTGGGATCATTTCAAACAATGCTTCTTATATATGCAGCTGGTGTTGTCTTGACCTCTCTAATTATAATTCCCAATTGGCCCTTCTTTAATCGCCACCCTCTAAACTGGTTGGACTCAAGCGAGGCTGAGAAGCATCCCAAACCGCAGGCTGCTAATTCTGGTCCAAAGAAGAAGGCTTCTAAGAAGTAGGTCATTTGGCTTATCTAACATAAGTGTTACTTTATTGGAGTTCTTCTTTTTTCTGGTTTGGGAATGTATTGGATACATTTTATTTGGCCTTTTGGGTTAATGAACGGCAAAATGTTGCTGCAACTCCATATAGCTGTGAAAGGAACTAAGGAAGTTTAGTCTTTACGGTGCCTCAATATTTACCCTTTTGCTTTCATTTTTCCCAAGTATGATCTTACATCTATTGGTCTTGGACAGATATGTTGATGTGATTTTGGTTAATATTGTCATTCGTTTTTTTACATTAGAGTTAGTTAGATTTTTAGTCCACTGTAGCACATTTTTATTGAAATTTTTGGGTCTATGGAAGATGATAGTATGTATCTGATAGTTATTCTAGAATTGCCTTGCCTTTGCAGTTGATAGGTAGGTCATTATGAAGCTCTTACAATATACCTAAGCATATAATCTCGCAGGCTAGTTCGGCCATTTCCTAATTAACTTGGCTACATAACTCTATTTGGTTGGATTCCTATGTGATCATGTTGTTCAGGAAAATGATAGGTCTAGAATTTGAGTAACGAGTATGTACACTGTGCTTTAAACTTCGATTCCTGTGGTCCCCTTAACCAGTCATGTTTGCTCACTGTTGTATTTGTCAACCCTGTTACTCAACCCTTTTGTATATTAGAAGTTTTGGCTGTAGTGCCTTGAGCTCGGAAGGTTTTAATTATCACCTTTGCCAGTCTAGATCCATGTCTGGCCATATAAAGTAGAAATCTGAAAATAAAGAACAAATTAGTTCATGATCCTTATCTGAAGAGGTTAATAGGCTTAGGGGGTGACAAATTTGCTATATCATTATGTCCTTTCATAATTTATTAGTACAGGACACGGTTTGTTTTTGGGAGGGGAAGAGAGAGACGAGTAAGTGATATTTCTCATATAAAAGTAGCTTATATGTCATATTGGTGGGGGAATTGTGGTGTTATCTGAACCTTTGTTTCGATCTTGATGACTAAAGCATTAGGGGCAAGTCTCAGTAATTTAGGGAGTGTTTGATAGCATGGAAATGGAAAAAAAAGATGGAATTGGAATTGAAAATTCCAACTTTTGGTGTTTGATACCTTATGTTTTCCATGGAATTGCATTTCTTAAATTTCTTGAAACTTGGAATTTTCCTTGTTTTAATGGAATTTGAATTCTTAACATATATGGTAAGAATTCAAATTCCACTCTAGTGTAGCGATTATTATTTTTTTTTCGTCTTTTTTTTTTTTTTTGTCTTTTTTTTTTTTTTTTGGGTAATGGAAATCAATTCTAAGAATTATTGTAAAAAAATATTTTCCTTTAATTGACAATTTTCATGTAAAACAAAGTCAAACGAACATTAAAAAACACTTTTATTTTAACATTTTCCATGTGGAAAATTATACCAATCAAACAAAATAATTTACAATTCCAGGAAAACAATTCTAGGCAATTCAATTCCCTGGAATTCGTTTTCTAGGCAATTCAATTCCATCTTTGCAATTAAACGGACCCTTAGTGTGACTTTCTCAATTGATTCTCTGTACAAAGGGATCTGACCCTGGTGTTTGTATATGTGCTTAGATTTTGCTCACGATTATGGGAGTTAGGGTTCTGATTACTTGTTTATAACTTGGTGAGTCCATAGAACTTGGCTGGGATCATTACTTTCGGAAAAGGGTAGCCTAGCGTGTAAGCATGATGCTACTGAGGTTGTCGAAAGGAACTTGATAGTTTTGTTGACTTTGCATATTTTTCTTTGAACTTGAATTGACACAGATTTGCCTGAGGGAATGAATCCGCGGCTTCTTGTTTCGTGTTGAAATTTACTCCAAGTGACTTGTTAGTGATAACTTCTCTGAATTTGTAGGGTGAAATGAAGACATGAGAGTGAGCTTTCAAATCTTGACTATTACTTGTGTTAAGACTTGGGGTTCCATCTTAAAAGGTCAACCTTATTATGAGGGGTAGCCCAAACTCTTTATAAATTGATCTATGTTTTCATCTTTATTCAATGTTGGATTATATCCCTTAACATGCCCCCGCAAGATGATGGCTCGTATGAGCAGACCAATCTTAAAATCCGTATACTAATTTTTTGAGTCTTAATCAAGTCGAATTGCTCGTGCTCCAACGGGCTCTGATACTATGTTAAGATTTTGGGTACCATCTTAAAAGGTTAACCTTGTTAAGAGGGGTAGCCCAAACCCTTTATAAATTGGTATATGTTTTCATCTTTATTCGATGTTGGATTATATCCCTTAACAACTTGGAACCAGGATTATGAGTTATTTACGAGTCTACTGTCTTTCTGGTATTTGGCATTTTCATCTAGGTTGATGCAGTGCTTATAAGTTGGTCTAACATAATTTTTGACCACACATTTTTTAGGATCCACTACTTTATCTACTTTTTAACCACACATTCCTTAGCCAAGCAAGCACACATTTCTTAGGATCCACTACTTTATCTACTTTTTAACCACACATTCCTTAGCCAAGCAAGCACTTTATATAGTTTGTCATGGATAAGTTGATTGCTAGCCTAAGCTGATTCCATCTTGTAGAACCTCACCCATTGTAACTGAAATCTTTGGGAAAGATATCCTAACTTTCCTTCGCCTAGTCAGTAACCAATTTTACTGGTCTTGATCTGTAACATGTAACGTAGAAGCTGTTCATTTTAAGTGGTTTTAATCGGTAATTTTCAAGAATTTTGTATGTATGTCTTCGAAATACACCAAACTCGACACATAGATAACTGTTTAAGACACCCAAAAACCAAATAGATAGTCATACCGTAACCCATGAACATATTAAATTCCCCCTTTTTGCGAAATGTTGTCTATTCGGTCCATATTTTTGTTTTAAACTTGCATCGGCTTTGAGTTCAGTTCGTTTGCTTCTTTAAAATATAACAAGAATGAGGTGATTGAAACATGTTTGCTTACCGCAGGTTTAACCCCTTGATATTTTGATACTTTTGTATATGATTAGTATGAACTTTTCTGCTTGATTCCAACTGTCTAGCTACGGCATGATTGGGAGTGATTATAAGCTATGGATCTTATGGAGTGTGTTGATAATGAGTCGGTCTAGTTAGTAGTGGTTGTAAGTCCTATAAAATGTGTGGATGAATACGTGTATCTTTGGTAAACCTTTTTGTAGATTATAAGATGTGGGTCTTGTGGAATATCTTATAAAGACTGTGGGTCCTATGAAATTTGTGGATATCCAACTAATCTTTATCCGTAACTTCGGTTTGGCATGAGTTTGAATTCTTATTAATGGTAATGTCTCGATCAGTCACATATTAAGCTAGTGGTCATACACTTGTTCCCTGTTTTTCCTTCCACAGCAATATTTAAGGTTAACATTTTTTAGGTTGTAGATTTCAATTGGATCAACCACACAAATTGCTGTGTGTAGTATAAAATCACCTGTCCATGTCAATGTTTTGTTAGAATCATAGGTGGACATTTTAGAATCTCTTGAGATATCCCCCATTAGTTATTAGACAGTTTTCAATGATAATCACTCGAAAATTGACTTGAAGAAGATAGAAGATCACGTCAATTATTGGATCAAATCACTGGTAGAAATAAAAATTAGATCTTGAATTCTTTTAGCTGGTTCTAAAGATTCCATTGTTAGCATATAACTTGATCGGATATTATGCTGATTACCAATTTGAGTGGCAATCCAGTCGGGTTCTTATAACATTGACATTTACACCATAATTGGTTCATAAAGTTCTGTTCCATTATTTATTAAGGCCTCGTTTGGTACATATTAATGTAAAAATGAAAATGAAAAATATAGCTGTTATGGGCTCCACACAAGAGATAGATAGTCAAATATGGTGGCTTGATGTGATAGATAACGATAATATTTTTCATTTTAATGAGCAAATAATGGGAATCAAACGGGGGCTAACATTGATCTAATTTTGTAAAATGAGTGGCTCTCCATGGTGTTATTAGTAACCATTCACGCTATTTTTCACTAGTATGTGTTCTTTTTTCTCAAGGGAAAATTTCATAGGTAAGAGGATAACTATTGTCCATTTCAACCCTGAGAGGTTGTTCAGTGGTCGGATCTTGAGTTTGCTCCCCAATGGTTACTAGTTCAATTCCTTCAGAGCTATTGAGATGAGTATTTGACTATAAACTTCAGAGCCCGTGAGATTAGTCGAGGTTTCAGTAAGTTGGTCTTTGCCCATTTCAAAAATAAAAATAAAAGTTTTAAATTTCAAAAATCAAATATTAATTAAAATTTATTTATAATTTATAATTATATATTTTATTAATTAAATATGTTAAGGTCACAAATTTATTCAATTTGATCATAGATTTACAATTTAATTAGTCACGTATTATTTTTCGATCACAAACTCAAATTTTTTAATGTCACAAATTATTTTACGATCACAATTCAAAAATTTTGTAGGTCACAATTTGTTCGTTGATTACAGATAAAAAATTTATACGTTACAATTTATTAATAGATCACAAATATTATAGTTCACAACTTATTAGACGGTTACAAATAATTTTTTAGGTCACATTAATTTTTAGTCACAATTTATCATTTTTATTAGTCACATATTATTTATTGGTTACAGATTGACCAATTTAATTATCACAATCAACAAATTAATCTGTGACCACAACAAAACAACCATTGTCTCCAACAGAACCATTGCCACTGTCAGAATAACCACCATCACCCAATAGCAACACAACTTTCTTAAACAAAATCAACACTTCCACCTCAACAGATCACGACCATCAACATCTTATCGTCACCACTGCACCCATTGTCACGCCCACCATCGTCTACTGCCATCGTCACAACAATACGGCCACCACACAAAACAATACTTCGCCCATGCAAGTCATAGATCTGCCATTAACACCATTTTGCATCGCAACCCACTGTCGCACCTAACCACTAGATCCACCACCATCACAACAACCACGAAATTCGACAGTTCTAGCCACCATCACCACACAAATACCATCACCACCATAACACAAAACACCACTGTCAAAAATCGCAGCGAACATATGGGAGAAATGAAGAAAGAGTCAATTTGTTCGTTGATTACAGATAAAAAATTTATACGTTACAATTTATTAATAGATCACAAATATTATAGTTCACAACTTATTAAACGGTTACAAATAATTTTTTAGGTCACATTAATTTTTAGTCACAATTTATCATTTTTATTAGTCGCATATTATTTATTGGTTACAGATTGACCAATTTAATGATCACAATCAACAAATTAATCTGTGACCACAACAAAACAACCATTGTCTCCAATAGAACCATTGCCACTGTCAGAACAACCACCATCACCCAACAGCAACACAACTTTCTTAAACAAAATCAACACTTCCACCTCAACAGATCACGACCATCAACATCTTATCATCACCACTGCACCCATTGTCACGCCCACCATCGTCTACTGCCATCGTCACAACAATACTGCCACCACACAAAACAATACTTCGTCCATGCAAGTCATAGATCTGCTTCGCCACCATTAACACCATTTTGCATCGCAACTCACTGTCGCACCTAACCACTAGATCCACCACCATCACAACAACCACGAAATTCGACAGTTCTAGCCACCATCACCACACAAATACCATCACCACCATAACACAAAACACCACTGTCGAAAATCGCAGCGAACATATGGGAGAAATGAAGAAAGAGAGAGAGAGACGAGTTTTGCAAGACGTGCATAGCGTCGATCGTGAGTATCAGTCACACGGCGCCACTGGAAGATGAGCGCCACCGATCACATGGCATCGCTAACATAGAGAGGATGGGTGGTAGAGAGAGATCGATGACGTCATAGAGCATGGGTGGTAGAGAGGGGGGGTGCGAGGGAGGTGAGGCAGTGAATGAATGAATGAATTAGGGTTTGGTAAATTAATTTAATTTTATGATAATATTATTAATATTTAAAAAATAATTATTCATTTGATTTTTGAAATATCAAACTTCCAACCTGATTTTAGAATATTAAATACTTAAAGTATAATTTGGTGTAATTTCCATTTTTCTCAATGAGCGAAATAATATTTTAATTAAAAGGAATCTTGTCAATAATTATTAAATTTTCTAATTAAATGTCCTTGTAAATATCTTCTTCTGTAGCGATTTTCAAGTACAAATATTATCTCTAAGAGAAGTTACGAGATTTCCATTGCACCACTTGTGTTAGATTTTTATTTAGAAAAAACATCGAGATATTACACCCTACCTTAGTTATTTATTTTTATTCATTTGTCAAATATATTTTAAAATAAAATTTTATTTATTCAACATATAATTTAAACAAGATAATTATGATTGAAAAATTGCGAACCACGAGATTTGTGCCCTTTCCTTTCATTCTTTTATCGGGGAAAGGAACTTTCGTGGAAATTTGAATTGAGTCACTATACTATAATTTATCTCAATTAGGTTATTAAATTGAGTAATGATATTCATGATAAGAACTATTGGTAGTCGTTTTACGTGATATGTATGAAACAACTCATAATTTGATACAAAAGATAAAAAATACCACATAATTGCATCAAATAACAAATTGGTAGTCCTCATTGTGAATAACATTATTCTATATTTCAACATAGTTTCAATCGGATTTTTAAATCTAAATTTTAGTTTTCAATCTCACTACTCCATCATCTGACGTACTCCAATATTTGTGGATCTTCATTTTACTATTTTCATTCTCCCAAAAAAAAAAAAAAAATCACTTTTAAACCAATATATAATACACCTAACAATTTAGATCTACAATCAAATGATATAACAATCACTTTATAATTTATCATAATTAATTTAGACAATATGATTTTAGCTAATAAAAACAAATAGTTGTTGCACGATCTAAGATTTTGAGAATAATACGATCTAAGATTTTGAGAATAATATGATTAGTTGTAAATATTATTTAATATTGTGTATCAAACATTTTATGAGTTTATTCGATTTCCATATAATTTCGGTAAAGGTATACAGTCTCTATATAATACATTTCCTTTATAACTTATTTACATTGAATAAATTTAAGTGACTAAAATCATTAATGTGCATTTTGAAATCGCATGCAACTTTCACATTACTCAAACTAAATATCCATTACTACTAAATCTTTATCAAATTCAACTGAAAGTCGCACGTGTTTTTTATATATATCTATCTTAACAATTGTCATCGCATGAAAAATTAGATTTAAAATTTAAATAAAATAAAAGACATAAAAATTAAGTCTCTGTTTGGTGTTGATTAAAATTTGATTTTTTAGTAGATTTCGATAATAATATCTAGTATCAGTAGTATTAGAGCACAAGTCCATATGACATTATATGATATATTCAATTAAAAATGAAATGATTCATTTAATCGAACAATTTATTTAATAACACCTATGAGCATCTTAAAAAAAAAAAAAAACTCTTTATTTATAAAGGCTATCTTATTATTACAAAGTTCATCTTTAATTTTAGAGAATCAAATTTTTTATGCACTCCAACAAATTCTCCATTTTGGCTCTTCAGTTTGCTTTTCTCAACGAATATTTATTGAATTCTTCCCATGTTTTATTTAACATAATTTTTTATATGCTAAATTAACCAATCGAATTAAATGTGATTTGAATAGTTTAAGAAGTAGAGCATTGAAATATTTAATTCATTAAATACAACCATTTTACTTTAAGAATAGCGAATGAGGCTTTCCAAACTCACGCTCTATTTTAAGAAGTCGAAATAAAGTTTTTTAGAGTTTCGTTTTTAAGCTTTGAGTATTTTGTATTTAAAGATTTTGTTGAAAATATTATAACATTGTAATAAATGTGGTGCTAAATTTAATTTGGGTTGGTCTATGGGTACATAAGGATTGGTGCATAAGGGTGTCCACATCCTCACATGAGGGGGGCCCGCCTGAATATTTTGGTACATAAGGGTGTTCACACCCTCACATGAGGGGGGCCGTCTGAATATTTATTCAGGCGGGCCCCCCTCATGTGAGAGTGTGGACACCCTTATGTACCAACCCTTATGTAGCACAGGGTTTTCCATTTAATTTTGATCATTCTAAAGTGGGGACGATACCCGTGTCCGAAAAGCTGTCTGATTCTATCTTCTGACGCGTTCTGCCATTTGCCCATTCTATAAATCCCTTATTCCATCCACACTCACGAGAGCTCGACCATTTCCCCATATTCTTTGCCCATTCCTCTATCCTTATCCAACAAATTTATCTCCCTTTAATATATATCTTCTTCCCATCAACTGTGTAACAGGGATTCTGATTGATTTTCGGGTAATTTTTAGTTTTTTCTTCTCTATTTTTTCAGTTGAATTTGTTAGATTTAATGATTTACTTAATCAGTTGCTCAAGAAATTTCTATATGTAGATTCTGTTTCTAATTTGATTAGATGAACTGTTGATTACATTTCTCTAATCTTTGTATAAATTGTTAAATCTGAAATTCGCACAGTATAATTTTGTTGTTTACTCGATTTTAAGTTTTACGATACGTTTTTACTTACCAGTCTAATTAAAGCCTTCTTTTTTGGCCTTTAATTTTGAATGCATTTCTCTGTTCACGAACGTGAACGGCTTATCCTCGATTAACATATAACACGTTTATGAACATTTTTTTTTTTTGGTAACTGAAAATTAGATATTTATTCTGTAACTGTCAATGACTTCTGCGACTATGAAAAAAGCATCTAATAGTCTATCGAAAAAATTCTGTCGGTGAGGTATTGTAATACAGGTATTATGTTTCTTTTTGACTTATTTTTCTTTCCCTTTACTTTTAATATCCAATAAATTGGATCTTGTTATTAACAAATATAGATTATTCATATTTAAACCATTATTTAATGTAGGAGTATATTAGTAAAACAATGAAAGAAAATTTACTTTTCCGACTATATTAATTACATTTTCTTAATCTGTGTGAAAATTGAAACAAACCTATCTTTTTGGGAAGGTGTGAGTACTATTTGAGGGTGGGGCGGTGTGGGGTGAGTTACCACTGAGGTGGTGGGGGATGGGGTTTTTGGTAGGTGATTAATGAGAATAGTTGTTGGTGGGTTGGTGAACGTGATATCTGAATCTACAAGAAGATTATTAAACATGTGCCGGTATTATTGGAGTCTATTGTTTGTTGATGCATGCTTTTCATGTTGGTTGTCATTTGACTTGTGCTATTAACTTTTATATTTGGCCGGTGCCAATTATATGATTAGATTCATTGTACATATTGATCGGTCGTGTTCAAACATTTTTGGAATGACTTTCTTATTCTAGTTAGTTATTCACTGAAAATTCTTAGTTTGATTTATTTGTTTTTCCTCCTCCTCTTTAAAAATAACTGTAGGATTATTTAGCCATCAAAATGGAAGTCGCCACAGGTTAAAACGTGTTAGGTTATGGCCTTGGCAGGTATTTCAACCTTTTACAGATTTTTCCTTATTTCAACTATTCTTTCAATTTAGTGTCTGGTAAAACTTTTTCTTATTTTTTTGTCATATGGCTTTCTTTCACATGTCTGTTATCTATTAGATATTTGGGCAATACGCGCTGGAAAAAACGCAGCAGGAAATTTTAAATTTGGTATCAACCTGATTGGTGCAAGTAAGCCAAATTACAGTAGGAGAGTTGGTATGGAATTTGAACATGATTGGACGGAGCATAGGAAACCGATGCCCTTTACAGCTCATTTGATTCGATTTGCGGCATTTTTTATGGCTTGGTCTTGTAGAATTCCCATGATCGAAGGATATCATGAATTTATTTAATTAAGTGCTAATCGTTTAGTTGCACTCGTAAGTTCTAAAGACACTTCCTTTTTGCTTAAAGAAGTGAATTACTTATCCAATATGTGTTTCTCCAATTTACATGAACAAGATACCCCTGCTTCAAAGATTAATGATCATTATTATTATCCCATCTTGCCTGGATTGCCCGATGATGTGGCAAAATACTGTCTTGCTCTTGTTCCTCGATCTAATTTTCCGACCATGGGCATCGTAAGCAAGCGATGGAGGTCGTTTATCAAAAGCAAAGAGTTCATAACCGTAAGGAAATTATCAGGGGTGCTTGAGGAATGGTTATATGTCCTGAGTATGGATTCTGAAGGACAAGAAAGCCACTGGGAGGTTTTAGATTGCATGGGACATAAACACCAGCAACTTTCACCGATGCCAGGTCCTGCTAAAGCTGGTTTTGCTGTGGTGGTTCTTCACGGAAAGCTTCTCGTCATTGCTGGATATTCTATGGTCGACGGAACTGGGTCTGCCTCGGCAGATGTTTACCAATATGATTCTTGCCTCGACAGGTATATTTTATTTCTTATCCACCATTCCCCTTTTTCATTCTGTGCATCTCTTTTTGGATTTTTTTTCTGCTTCCAACATTAGCTAATCAAACTTTTGTGCTTTTTAGAACTGATCTGTGTTCAATTTGTATCGTGATAACTCATATGTCGAATAAGCCCAGGTCCTATTAGAACTCATCTGTGTTCAGTTTGTATTGTGATAACTCATATATCGAATAAGCCCAGGTCCCTTATTTGATGGACCTCAAAATTGAGTGATCAATGTACTTTTTAAAGCTGCATCATATTAAACTAATAAGCGTATAACAGTTCAAATTTATGCCTTTATGTTATTGCCTTGTAATGCCCCTCGCCTCTCCTACTATGTCGATTTTACTGTGTTCAGATGTGAACACCAGAACAAGTTCTATATGTTGGCATATTTGATAGGGTTTTATGTGTTCGACGTCTTGGTGCATATTCATGAATGGCTCTCATTTTTTTCAAAACTTATATCTAGGGAGTCTGTCCTTTTCCAGCTTTAGCCAAAAATTCAGATTTTAGTAGATTTAGATAAAAGTTGATGAAATGTGTAGTTGAAAAGTAAATAAAGGTTGTGGGTCCCAAAAATGTGTGGTTGAAAATGCATTTGGAGATACAAAGAGTTTTTGAAAATGAGGGCAAACAGGGGGCTTAGTTTATCATACCTTTGTACTTTTTAGAACTCAACTGTGGTAATTGGCTCTATTATTTAAGCTGGGAGTAGTTCAATTTATATCGAGATAACTCGTAAACATTGGGGGTTAGTTAAAATTGAATACACCTAGGTGCCTTATTTGAAGATTGGCCTCAAAATTGAGCAATCAATGTACATTTTATCTGCATCATGTTAAATAATAAGCTGCGTCTATAACAGTTCAAAGTTAACTAGTTAAGGCCCTATATGGTATTGCCTTGTAATAGTGCCCCTCTCTCTGCTATTGTTTGGATTTCACTTTGTTCAATTGTGAATATCAGAACAAGTTCAATATGCTGTCATATTTGGTAGGTGTTGCGCAGTCAGTGTCTTGTGGATATTCATCAAATGTCTCGTATTTTTTCAACATTTATATCTGTGCAGTTGGTCCTTTTCTTCTGATATTTCTCAGGAGTCTTTCATGCTCTATTCGGGATACAGTCAATTCTTAAACTAGATTTCTCCCTCAAGTCAACTGACTTCGATCAAATCTGTGGCTTGGTTTTCTGATGATTCACTAATATATTTTCATCACTAACACTGATTTTTTGGAAGCTGATATTGGTTGAGAACAGATCAGCTGGGAACTAGTTCTCATCATGCAATTAATTTGCTAGGCTTTTATTCTTGAGAATCTTTCCCGCCAAATCATTTATCATACAATGTCAACTGGCTTCATAAACTTATCAGATTAATTTAGCAATAGGAAATGTGCTACTCAATGATATTGTCTGCATTCATGAATTCTAATGCTCCACTTGATGAATCAATAGTCGAGCTAGCAATTTATCACGTCATTTATCTTTTGATTATCTGCTTGCTGGAAAACGAAAAGATCCTGAAAATATAATAGCTTCGTCTTTCTTGGTCTAATTTAGATATATATCGACTAATTATCTTTTGTAGGTGGAGCAAATTGGCTAGCATGAATGTGGCGCGTTACAACTTTGCTTGCGCCGAGTTAAATGGCATGGTGTATGCAGTTGGGGGGTATGGCATAGATGGTGAATCTCTCTCTTGTGCTGAGGTGTACGACCCGGATACTGACAAGTGGACTCTAATCGAGAGTCTACGCCGCCCAAGGTGGGGATGTTTTGCGTGTGGGTTCGAGGGAAAGCTTTATGTTATGGGTGGGAGGTCAAGTTTGACAATTGGAAACTCCAGGTTCATCGATGTTTATAACCCGGAGACGCACACATGGTGCGAGATGAAAAATGGCTGTGTCATGGTTACTGCACAAGCCGTGCTCGGGAAGGAGCTCATTTGCATGGAGTGGAAAAATCAACGGAAGCTAGCAATATTTAACCCTGCGGAAAATTCGTGGAAGATGGTGCCAGTTCCGGTGACAGGGAGCTCGAGCGTTGGGTTTCAATTTGGCATACTAGATGGTAAGCTTTTGCTGTTCCCTGTACAGGAGTATCCGGGTTATAACACCCTATTGTATGATCCGAATGCTGCCTCTGGGTCTCAATGGCAAACTTCTGAGATAAAGCCGTCGGGCTTGTGCCTATGTAGCGTGACAATTAAGGCTTGAGTTGAGTATGTTATCGTCGTAAAACTAAGATTTCATTAAGCTGTACGATTTTGGGATTAAGTTTGTTTACTGTAATATTTATAGATCATGAGATTATCTGGAAGAAAAGGCTAGTGCTATTTTGTAATTATTTTATTCTTTAGTATAAACCTCCTGATAAAAATTAAATTTTGAAGTTTAATCAAAGTTAAAGTAGATAACTAATCATAGAATTTTCAATTTTTCAACCGTAAATCTCATCATCTTTTATCAAAATCTATTAAAATTATGATTTTGATCTCCACCGAATAAGGGGCTAATCTTAGGTTATTTTCAATTCTACACTAAAATTTATAAATTTTGCACCAAATCGATAATCATTTCTGACTTAATATACCAAATGAATAATGTTTCATCATTTTCTCTTGATTGATTAACAATTATTTTATGACGGACATAAATTACAAAATAAATAATTAGGTTGAGTTAATGAAAATATTAAATTCTGAATTCATTCCTTAATTATTATTGATTACATGATTAAAATTTATTACAAATGCACTTGATAATAATAATTATAATTTGTTTTGTAATAAAAAGTGGACACAAATATCCTTAACAAGAATTCGATACAAATTGAAGAAAAAAGCGGCAAATTGAACATTAATGTTTTGGGAGAGCATTGAAGATGGCATTAGGCCGCAATGTCCAAGTCTGGATGAGCTATCCCATGCAAGTCAACATTGGATCATTTCCAAGTTAATCTATCATAAAAATCGATTCATGTAGAGATGATTATCTAATCCAACGATCCGTGAGGGTTCATGTAGTTGGTCTGCCCAAGGACCAATGAGGGCCCATCGAATGTGATCTGTTCATTAAAATTTGAAAGGAGAATTACTTTAAACTCTGCTTTTCAAACTTTAATTTCGAAATTATCATTTTTCAATAATCAATTAATTACTTTCCAAAAAAATATTTAAACAGTGTACCAGAGATAAACCTTCTTGCAGTGTACTCGTTTCTGTAGGTCCATCGAATTCTTAAATTCCTAAAAAATTTAATGAATTTATACTTCAAAAATTTCCATTTCAAGGTAGATGAGGTTTTGGATCCTAAACATATAGCTGGTCGTGAACATTAGTGCAGAATATTTTTAGGGTACTGGTTTTGCTGAACAGTTGGCTGCTGATACGTGAGAAAGGAAGACTCCTATTTAGATAGCAATAAAAATACATTTTCTATTAACATAGCTGTGCTAAACGAAGGAACTTCATCAAAATGCTCAACTCCGATTGATATAATAATGGCTGAAGAGAATAAAGAGCCGAACAATCCACCGCTCAACTCCCAACGACAACACGCGCCACAGGCTCCAAAAATTACATTAAAAACTCTGTATAACAAACCGAATTGAAACCCTTTCAACGTAAGCTGAGTCGAGCGGAGGATTGACCATTCTCTTCAGCTATTGCTAAGTCGACCGCAGTTCATCATTTTGATGAAGTTATTCCTCCGTCAGCTTGCCAACTGTTATTCCACTCTTAAGTCATTGTTATATTAATTAAACATATCGCTTCTGCCATCGCCAAAATCATCTCTAAAGCTAAATAATTGCTACAAGGAAGACATGCCACTAATGGAACAATAAAAATATTGTTAACAACCAAGCTCTTCAAAGGCGCTTTCAGGAAAAAAGTTGCGAAAATGTTCATTAACTATTCCCAGCCAGTAGCAGCAGCAGGAGGAGGCGGCGGCGGCATTACATCAACTCCAGCAACATCAACTCCAGCATCAACTCCAGGTGCTGCCATTGGCGGCGGGGCAGCCATATCCCATCCATCAGCAGTTACTCCTGCAATTTATAGGATTCTCAAATGTTCAAATTCTTGGAATTTGAGAGAACAACTTCTTTGACCGAGAAAACAAAATAAATACTAGAAGATCCTTCAGACTGGAACATGCATTAGAACATAAATAACATAGTAAATGTTTCACAGCTCATTTTTTAAGACGATGTCCACTCAAATTAAAGAGATAATTTTAAGTTTTTCACAGTTATAAATTTCACCCATTAAACACGATAAAGGGAATGTTGAGGAATGTTATTTGCACAGAAACTCAAAAATCAATTGCTTGGTACAAGAGAGAACACTAACCAACATCAGCAGTCCAACCACTGGCAGCTGGTGGAATAGCACTTGCTATCTCAGGAGCCCATTGAGCTTCCGGAATTTGACCACTAGACCAATCCGCCCCAGTTAGTGGACCAGCTGTATAATCACCATAATCTGGGAGTGCAGGTACTTCCTCCTCTTCTTGTTCCTTGGCTTCCTCAGGCTCCCTGTAGAAAAATAGATCAACCTGCCAACAGAGATAAAATCAAGTATTAAACACGTATTGCAATTCAAGTGTGACACAACAGATTAGAGTCCTTGTGTACCTCCAAGAATGGTCAAAATTTAGCCACTTAAACAAAAGAACAAAACTATATATAACATTTACCATGATATCCCACTTGTGTCCAGGAGCAATGACACCACGCATTTGAAGAACCATCCTTGCTAAGAGCCAAAACAGACAACCAATGCTGTGCTTCCCCTTGTTATTGGCAGGGATACCAATATCAACATATCGCATAGGGGAATCAGTATCACAGAAAGCAATGGTGGGGATGTTCCCAAGTGCACCTTCCTTAATAGGCTGAAACATATTCATATTAAAATCCAGGATAATGATTAGTAAACAATGTTTGCAGCTCTATGGTATAGCTGCACCAAGATGTAAAAATACAAACGACTGACCTGGTGATCAGTCCTTGGATCAGTAAGGATGAGAAGACGTGGCTCGCTGAATGAGGTCTGAAGTTGGTTGGTGAATGTTCCAGGAGTATGGCGTCCAGCAATTGCATGAGCCCCGGTGTACTGGGCAAACTTCAAGACAGCCCTTTGCCCATATGGCCTTGCGGATTGAACAATGATATCCTGAGGGTTCTCGATAGCAACAATAACCCTTGCTGCCATCTGAAGCTTGTCCCATGTTTTTCCAAGGTTGATGATGTAAATTCCTAGACAGCAAAATACAATAATTAAAAACGTTTATTAATGAAATCCAAAATATTCAAATCTATAGCTCGGCAAGTAAATTCATCGGACATGTCACGGCCAAAAGGGCTGCACAAAGTTTATAATTAGAATCTGTTGAATATAAAGAACAAAATGAATCGGAGAAAGAGATCAAAACTACAAAAAAAATTAACTTGAACCAAGGTCATGATAGATTATATTCGAATATTGACTTGACTCAGCTGAATAGCATGAATATGCAGCCAAAGCCCATATTAGTTTCATTGAATTCTGAACAAACAAAAATCTATGGAAGGGAAGTGACTACATATTTGCTAAAAGAAATCATCTTAGGTTCATTTGATTCTTATCATAAGCTGCATCATCTTATCGTGTAGCACGCATAACTGAAGGATTGACCAATATAATTTATAGTGCAACAAATTTAAGAACACAAAAATTTATAACACGAAAAACATTAACCAGAAATTTAATCAGAAGAATTAGACAAAAAATTATTGACAAACCAACTCAAGAAATTTTAGAAAATTATACATCTACGATTAATATCTTTGATCACAGGGCTGCTCATAGGAAACATATAATAGGAGTAAAATCACCAAAAATGTAAGAAGATAAAACCCTAATACATAAATAACAATGTAATCGATTAATATTCAAAGCAGGTAGATCCAATCCGGGCAAAAGGTAAAATTTAAATTGATTTATTCCTTTCATGCCATTAAGATTAATATATCGCTAGCACCTTACTTATCAAATTGACAAAACTAGAATTCCATAGGGCAGATCAAAACTCAAAAAATTCAAGATCAAAACTCAAAAAATTCACACTAATCTAATTTTATAATAACAAAAATAAACCATCATCTACTCAAAAATACAAATAAAGATGCAGATTTATATATAGTAATTATGCATAAATATAAAACATCGTCTGATGATAAACATAACATAATGTTTCATTTGGAAATCACAGTTTTTGGTATTGCACATTATTTATCAAATGAACTACCTAGAATTCTATAAGATAAATCACAATTAACAACTGAAAAGATTCACGCTAGAACGGATCCGCGATCTCACTAAGCAAACCGTCTAATAACAATTATAAATGCAAATCTACGCCTATATAGTAATGTATGTAAATATATCTACCGTCATTTCGGCGCTTGAAGACGTAACGCTCCATTTGAAAGTCACAGTTTTTGGTGCCGAGGTGAACTTCGGCGGCCAACATCATTTGAATGTCGGCCTCTTTTGTTGAAAGAATCCTTGGTCCGGTCGCCATTTTTGGTGCTTCCCCTTGCCCTTTGCTTTGCTAGGGTTTTGGATTTTGCTCTGGCTCAGAGGAACGTAGGTAAAATGCGATAATGCGAATGCTTGTGGATTGGTATTTATGTAAATTAGAATGGAATTTATATACATTGAAAACCCTAGTGAAATTTGGTTAGTGCTAGGCCTTCCACAGTTTGGGCTGAGTATATGAGCTTGACTTCATTGGAACTGGATTCTGTAATTATTTGGGCCCTTGAGCCCAACAATGCTGTAGTCCCTTTTCTTTTGAAGGAATTCCCTCCGACACTTTTAAATAAGACAATTAATTCCGTCAACTATTTTTGAAAATAAGGTTATCTAGCACTAGTTCATGTTGCTACAATTTATAAGTTCTATTAAATGAATCGTGTGACTTTGCATTAAATGAATTTATCATTTAATATTGTGTAATTATCATTTAGACGGATGCTTAATATCAGTGGTATTAAATAGTAGGGTAATTAGCACAAAACATCCCTACGTTTCGATGTTTTTGTGGAAAACGTCCCTACCTTTCATTTTTTGGTGGATTACACCCTTACCTTTACATTTTTTTGCGCAAAACGTCCTTCTGTCAACTTTCCGTTAAAATACTCCGTTAAATCAAAAAGGTAATTAGCACAAAAGGTCCCTACCTTTCAAAGTTATTGTGCAAAACGTCCCTACCTTTTATTTTTTAGCATAATTAGCAGAAAAGATCCCTACCTTTCAATATTATTGTGCAAAACGTCCCTACCTTTCATTTTTAGCATTTTCACCCCTACCTTTCACCTTTCATTGCAAAAAAGTCATTCTCATCCTTTTTTTTTAATAAAATGACGATTTTACCCTCATATTCAAATAAAACAAAAAGAAAAGATGAATTACCAACTGCAACCATAATCCTTAAATTTTTAAAAAATTACAAAAAATCATAAATTCTCAACCACCACCATTTTCACAACCTATCAAGCTGCCAACTATAAATCCACATAATACCACCTTTCGGCCACCATGCCCACCGGACTCCATCACTGTAAATGTGGTTGTTTCGGACAGATTGGTGACCAATACTATGGAGGAGGATATTGGGGAGAGTGAGGCGACGCTGGTGGTGGTAGAGTCCTATGTGTTGTGGTCGAAAAGTGGTGCTATATGGATCTATAGGTGGTGGCTTGGTGGGGTTGTGAAAGTGGCGGTAGTGGAGAATTTAGGATTTATCTGTAATGTTTTGAAAGATTTAGAACTATGATTGCAATTAATTGATTATTTTTTCTTTTCTTTTTGTTTTATTTCAATAGGAGGGTAAAATCGTCATTTTATTGAAAAAATGGATGAAAGGACCTTTTGCGCAATGAAAGGTGAAATGTAGGGGTAAAAATGCTAAAAATGAAAGGTATGGACGTTTTGCACAATAATATTGAAAGATAGGGACATTTTCTGCTAATTATGCTAAAAATAAAAGGTAGGGACGTTTTGCACAATAACTTTGAAAGGTAGGGACCTTTTCTGCTAATTACCTTTTTGATTTAACGGAGCATTTTAACAGAGACTTGACAGAAGGACGTTTTGCGCAAAAAAATGTAAAGGTAAGGGTGTAATCCACCAAAAAATGAAAGGTAGGGACGTTTTTCACAAAAATATCGAAAGGTAGGGATGTTTTGTGCTAATTACCATAAATAGTATTACACAACTACAAAAGCTTGTTTAGCACAAAATTTTTTTCAAGCAAAAACTCATTTTTATGGAAAATGTATAAGTGAAAAGTAAAAAATATTGTTGGGTCCTATAGAATCCGCGGTTGAAAATAATGAAGAAATATAATTTATTTTTTATTTTTTATTTTTGCCCAAACAAGCTTTAAGTTTTTTAATAACTTTATTAAAAATATATATATTTTTTTTTTTGACAAATATGCCATTCTGACTTCTAACGTGTTTTCAAATTAGAAAATGTGGATGATGATTTCTAGCCCATTTAGATAATTTTTGAGGACAACGTCAAGGAGTCGTTTGTGAATACCTACGACACCCTCGTAGATTGGCACCCGCAATCTCATTTATCCCGCCCTTGAATCTCGTGACCTGTTAATTGGAAAGGTGGATGATTCGTTGGTATTGATCTGGTGCGTTCAAACCTATTAACAGTTCACGTGAGCCATATGTCCTGAGATATTGGTGGTGAACATTAGTGCAGAATATAATTTTTAGCTTACTGGTGCTGAATAGTTGGTTGCTGACTTTTAACCGAGTTGAAGACTCCTATTGAGATAGCAATAAAATACATTTTCTATTAACATATCAGTGGTAAACGAAGGAACAACTTCATCAAAATGCTCAACTCCGACTGATATATAATGGTTGAAGAGAATAAAGAGTCGAGCAATCCACACTCAACTCCCAACGACAACACGCGCCACAGGCTCCAAAAATTACATTCAAAACTCTAAATAACAAACCAAATTGAAACCCCTTCAACATAAGCTCATATTTTGTTGGAGCCCATGGCACGAGTTGCTATCAGAGTTGAGCGGAGGATTGACTATTCACTTCAGCTATTGCTAATCAACCGGAGTTCAGCATTTTGATGCTCCGTCAGCCATTGCCAATTGTTATTCTACTCTCAAGTCATTGTTATGTTAATTAAACATATCACTTCTGTTGCCATCGCCAAAATCATCTCTAAAGCTAAATAATTGCTACAAAGGAGACGTGCCACTAATGGAACAATAAAAATATTTTAAACAACCAAGCTCTTCAAAAGCGCTTTCAGGAAAAAAGTTGCGAAAATGTTCATTAACTATCCCAGCCAGTAGCAGCAGGAGGCGGCGGCGGCATTACATCAACTCCAGCAACATCAACTCCAGCATCAACTCCAGGTGCTGCCATTGGCGGCGGGGCAG